AGGGCCAGCCTCCCCCTGTCCCTGGCAGGCCCACAAGTCTCCCCGAGAAGGCAAGGGACAGACCTGACCACCTAGAAGGGACTTCCTACCAGCCAGACTACAAGCCCTAGAGAGCTTTTCCACACTCCTCCCCCCCCCCCCCCCCCCCCAGCCATATTTCCTTTTTTTTTTTTTTCTGCTCCAGGTCTTAGTTGCGGCTTGTAGACTTCTTAGTTGTGGCATGCGGATTTCTTAGCTGCAGCATGCGGACTCTTAGTTGTGGCGTGCATGCAGGATCTAGTTCCCCAACCAAGGATCAAAACCGGGCCCCTGCATTGGTACCGCAGAGTCTTACCCACTGGACCGACCACCAGGGAAGTCGCCCAGCCATATTTCTTGAACACTTCTTTCCTCTGGGCTGCCCCTGCTCCAGGCATACAAGGCCAAGACTACACGAGACAGACATGCTCTCTACCTTCAAGGCACTTCCACTAATAAACACACCAAGTAGTGTTGGGTGGTGACTGCATGTTCAAGGACACACAACAGCCATAGGACCCAGCAATTCTGCTCCTGGTATATACCCCTAAGAACTGAACCCAGGTGTTCAGACAAAAACTTGTACATGCATGTTTATAGCAGCATTACGCAAAACAGCCAAAAGGTAGAACCAACTAAATGTCCTTCAGCTGGTGAACGAATAAACAAAACATGGTATGTCCACACAATGTAATGTTATGCAGCCATAAAAAGAAATGAAGTACTGACACACATTACATTGTGGATGAACCTCGAAAATATTAATATGGAGTGAAAGAAGCCAGACACTGAAGGTCACATATGGTACGACTCTATTTACAAAACAGGTAAATTTAGGGAATTCCCTGGCGGTCTAGTGGTTAAGAGTCTGTGCTTCCACTGCAGGGGCATGGGTTCCATCCCTGGTCGGGGAACTAATACCTTGCATAGTTGCATGGTGAGGCCAAAAAAAAAAAAAAGGTAAATTTATAGAGACAGGAAGTAGATGAGAAGCGACTTGCCTGGTGGTGCAGTGGTTAAGAATCCGCCTGCCAATGCAAGGGACACAGGTTCGAGCCCTGGTCTGGGAAGACCCCACATGCCGCAGAGCAACTAAGCCCGTGTGCCACAACAACTGAGCCTGCGCTCTAGAGCCTGCGAGCCACTAATTTACTGAGCCCGCGTGTCATAGCTACTGAAGCCCACGTGCCTACAGCCAGTGCTCCGCAACAAGAGAAGCCACCGCAATGAGAAGCCTGCACAGAGCAACAAAGAGTAGCCCCCGCTCACCGCAACTAGAGAAAGCCTGCGTGCAGCAACGAAGACTCAACGCAGTCAAAAATAAATGAATTAATTAAAAAAAAAAGACAGGGCTTCCCTGGTGGCGCAGTGGTTGAAGAGTCCGCCTGCCGATGCAGGGGACACGGGTTTGTGTCCCGGTCTGGGAAGATCCCACATGCCGCGGAGCGGCTGGGCCCGTGAGCCATGGCCACTGAGCCTGCGCGTCTGGAGCCTGGGCTCCGCAACGGGAGAGGCCACAACAGCGAGAGGCCAGCATACCGCAAAAAAAAAAAAAAAAAAAAAAAAAAAAAAAAAAGACAAACCAAGTAAAAAATGGACAAAAGATTTGAAAAGACACTTTACCAAAGATCTGAATAGACAGTGAGACCATGAAAAGATGTCCAACATCGTTAGTTATCGGGATATGCAAAATGAAACCAAAATAAGATAACAACATACACTTAGAATGGCTAAAATTAAAGACTGGCCACATGAAGTGTTGGGAAGGATGGGGAGCAGCTGGAACTGTTGCACATTGCTGGTACGAATGCAGTTATGGTTCAGTCACTCCAAACAACTCAGCAGTTTCTTGAAAAACCTACAGTGCAGAGGGACTTCCTTGATGGTCCAGTGGGTAAGACTGCACTCCCAATGCAAGGGGCCCGGGTTAGATCCCTGGTCGGGGAACTAGATCCCACATGCATCCACAACTAAGAGTCTGCATACACGAGTAAGAAGTCCGTACGCTGCAGCGAAGATCCCGCGTGCCGCAACTAAGACCCAGCGCAGCCAAAATAAATAAATAAATATATTTTTTAAAAACCTATGGTGCTTGCTTCAGTAGCACATATACTAAAATTGGAACTTATCATGGCCCCTGCACAAGGATGACACTCAAGTTCGCGAAGCGTTCCATATTTTTTAATCTAACCTCAAAAAATAGGAAGCAAGGGGCTTCCCTGGTGGTGCAGTGGTTAAGAATCTGCCTGCCAATGCAGGGGAAACGGGTTCGAGCCCTGATCGGGGAAGATCCCACATGCCGTGGAGCAACTAAGCCTGTGCGCCACAACTACTGAGCCTGCGCTCTAGAGCCCGCGTGCCACAACTACTGAAGCCCGCACGCCTAGAGCCTGGGCTCCTCAAAAAGAGAAGCCACCGCAATGAGAAGCCCGTGCACCGAATGAAGAGTAGACGCAGCTCGCTGGAACCAGAGAAAGCCCACGCGCAGCAACGAAGATCCACCACAGCCAAAAATAAATAAGTAAATAAATTTATTTAAAAAAAATAGGAAGCAAAAGTACAAAGATTCAATGAACAATTTTTTATATTTTCTGGGATGGGGAGGCCCTACTTGTTAAGAACCTCAATTGCTAAGGTGAGGGGTTATGCTACAATGTGCTTCATTGACTTCCTCTGCCTCTTTTGCTCTGTTTTATTACAACCCCTAATTTGTTCATCACTCTAGTATTTGTAGAAAGATGTTTTGTATTTTGCCACATCATGATAATAATAGTCCCGGTTTGACTGGCTGGTTTATAAGTTTAAGTACAAATAAATAAAAGATCCATTTTACCCTGAAAAAAAGAAAAAAAACTTAAACCTACACCTACCATAGGACCCAGTCATTCCACTCCTAGGTATTTACCCAAGAGGATGAAAGTATATGTCCACACAAAGACGCATACCCAGATGTTCACAGCAACTTTATCTGCAGTTGTCAAAATGGAAACAACCCAAATGTCCATCAACCAGTAAATGGATAAACAAATTGTGTCCATCCATTTAATGGAATAGTAGGCAGCAGTGAAAAAGAATGAACTTCTGATACTTGTGACAACACAGATGAAACTTCAAAAATATTCTGTTAAGGGACAGAAGCCAGACACAAGAAGCCACATATTATATGATTCCATTCATGTAAAATTTCTAAAAATACGAAACTACAGAGAGCAAAAGCAGATCAGAGTGTGCCTGAGGCCAGGGGTGGGAGAAGGGTTGACTGCAACGGGCTTGAAGGAAGTCATTGTGGTGATGGACGCGTTCTGAAAACCTGGATTGTGTTAATGGGTACATAACTCTATAAATTTATTAAAACTCAGTGAAGAGACTGCCCTGGTGGTCCAGTGGTTAAGATTCCCAATGCAGGGGGCAATCCCTGGTCAAGGAACTAGATCCCGCATGCCGCAAAACCCCACCTGCTGCAACTAAAAGATCCCTCATGGGGCAACGAAGATCCTGTGTGCCGCAACTAAGAGCCAAAAAAACAAAAAACTCCAAAAAACTCAGTGAACTGTTCAGCTAAAATGAGTGAATTGTACAGCATGTAACGAATTATACTTCATTCTTGCTCCAGGTTATCCCTAGCCAGGGCTCAAAGCAGGGACTAGGATTCACTGTCCCTTACATGCCACCTCCTACAGGTCACCAAATCCTGTCCACTCTACCCCCTGCATGTCTTCCCAAATCCCCTGATCTCTCTTTGCTCCCCACTACAGGCCTCCAAAGCCCAACCCATGCACCCGGACCCTCAGGCCTTTCTGAGGCACACGAGTATTGACCATTTCATCATTTATCACACTGACGGAAATTATTTGCTCCCATAAGCTCACCAGCAAGAAAAAGTCCGAATTTCTTCCTTGGCCACCGAGGGTAGCAGACTGTCCTGGGGGACTGGGATGAGAAGGTCTAGACTACTCTGGCCTTGTGCAATGGGAAGAGGGAGGGAGGTTTTACATCCTAAGGCAGGTGTTCTTTCCCTCTGAGAACCCAGAACAATGCATAAAAATACCTTCAATTGCTATGCCAATTCTGCGGTTCAAACAACCAGTCTCAGGACTTGTCCAAAGGGAAAGGGGGCCTCTCTCAGACCAAAAGGGGTGAATTCTTCCACCGTGATCTGAGGGCAAGACCTTGCTTCAAGTTCTTTTCCCTGGGGGTGAATGGGATTTACACCCCATGGGGCTTGGAGGGAGGAGCCACAAGGTCGGACCCTTCTCATGTATTTTTTAAACCTTCAGCGCTCTCTCACCATCTTCAGGCTTCCCAAGTCCCACTCTAGCCCCGCAGGACCCCTGGGACCCCAAGACCTCTCCCTGCCAATCAGGACTCACTGGGACCCCCAGGGCTCCTCAGCTCCCTCTCTCAGGTTCTCCCTGGTCCCTGAGGCCTCTTTCAGGCCCTTGGGTTCACTTGAGCCTCCTACTCCCAACCTTCTACAGTCCTCACCCCTCCCAGGTCCCCTCAGCATGTCCTCAGGACCACCTTTAGGAACCTCAGGGTCCTTCAGCACCCTCCAAGAGGGCCGCAGCCCTCCAAATTCCCCTCAGCCCCTCCTCAGAGTCGCCCAGACAGCCTCAACAACCTCAAGACTTCCTATAGCCCCTGCTCAGGACCCCCCTGCCTCCCAGACCCCTTGGCATCCCCAGTTCCCCCATGGCCACATCACAGTCAGGAGCCCCTGGGTTTCCTTTCGGATCTCCACACCCCTCAAAGCCCTCTCAGGCCCCTAGGGCCGCATGCAAACGCCTGGAGGCCCTGGGGCCCCCAACCCGCCTTCGGATGACCCGTGAGCAGCCCTCAGTCCCCTCAGTACTCCATAGCCACCTAAAGTCCGCAGCCCCCGTAAAAATCCTCGAGCCTGCCCAGGCCGCTCCTCCAGGACTCCCCTTAGGTCACTCCAGCCCCGGGGCAGGTGCAGGCCCACCCTGTGGGCTGGTTCTCACCTGTTCGGGCGCTCGGGGCCCGGGCCCGCGCGGAAGCCGCCGCCACCAGCGCCACCACTGCCACCGGGCGCCGCCATCTTCCCACCGCCGCCACCGCGCGTGCTAGTGACGGGAACCGCGCGCGCCGGCCCGGGAGACTAAGTCTCGGGGGGTGGGGCGGGGCCTGCTCTGCGGAGGGGCGGTGCCCTAGGCGAGGGGCGGTGCCGGGTCTGAGGAGGAAGCGGGCCCTGGGCCGCGAGGGGGCGGGGTCTGCGGATGCGCGGGGGCGGGCAAAGGCAAGTGCCGGTTCAGCTGGAGGAGGGGGTTGGGGCCTGGGGACAGAGGCGGAGTCTGGGACGAGGCACGGTCGTGGGTCTGAGGAGGTATGGGAGACTGGTGGGACAGGGACACGGGGCGGGGGGCACGGTCTACGGAGGGACGTGGCCCGAGTAAGGGGAGGGACCTCTCTGGGAGAGACTGGGCAAAGGAAACCTGTGCGTGTGGGGGCGTGGCCTGGGGGGCGAGGAATGAGGCGAGGGTGGGACGCAGCTAGGAGTAGGGGCAGCCCGACCTTTTAGTGCTGCACTTCAGGAACGGGGTTGGCTGTGGGAAAGGGGAGCGGCGGAGCCAAGCCGAGATGAGAGGAAGGACATGGAGAAACTGGTCGAAGAAATCTGAGAAACCCCCCTCTCTCCTTCCAGGGTCACTCAGACTCAGGAACTCACCTGGTGCCCAGACCTCAGACTTCCAACCCATCTTTGGGTCCCAACCCTCCCCCATCTTCCCAGAGCCTCCTCTCTCACACCCAAGAACGTCCACCTTCAGATTCCAGTCATCTGCCCTCAGATCCCCAAACCTCCTGCTTCACCCTCAGTTGTGGTTCCCATACCCCCCAACCCCTGCCCTCAAGTTATCTCCCCCATCCTCCACTCAAATCCCAACTCCACTCCCCCAAATCCTTGCCCACAGACCCTTCAAACCCACACTTACACCCCCAAAGTCCATTCCACCAGACCCAACCCCCTTGGACCTCCCAGCTCCAGTGCCGCAAACACCCCAGTCTTCAGCCAGGGCGTGAAGTCCTGCATCTGTTTCCTTCCCTTTTCTCTTTGTTCTTCCTTTTGCCTCCCTTTCTTCTCCTCCCTTCTGGACCTCATGGAGCCCAGAGCCAAGAAGGTAAAATTTCCAGAGCCTTTGAGGCCACCCCCCACCCCACCCCCAACCCACTGAACGCCTAGAATCTTCACCCTGGAAGGGTCCAAGCTTCCAGGATTTTCTCTCCAGCCTTGAACTCATTTATTCTTTCGCCTTCTGAGTTGGAAAACCCTCCCTTGTGCAGCCTCAGACAGGGTCCAAGGGTCCAAATGGGGCTCAGAACCTTCCTGAAGTCAGCGCTGGGGAAAGGGGCTGGACATGGGGCTGGAGGGCCCAGAGGAGGAAGCAACGGGCCTCCCTGGGTGGGCTCCTTCAGGTAGAACCAGACGCAACTGATCCATCTCCAGCAGAGGGTCGGGTACACAGTAGGTACTCAATCATTTGTGTAAAATGCTCAGGACACTGAAAGTTGATAGATACCAGGTGCTGAAGAGCACTGCTAACTCCTCCAGCACACAATAAGCGCTCGATAAATATTGAATGTGTGAGAGCAGGAGCAGCTCACGTTCCAGCTAGCTCTGCACACATCCCCTCACCTGCCTGTGGTCTGCCTGCCACTTGAGCCTTTGTTCCAGATGAACCACATGCAGGCATCAAACCCCGCTCAGCAGACCTTCAGCTCACACGCCTGACACATACAGCTGTAGACAATGGCATCCATATGCACCCACACTTCATAAACACACAGATTTGACCCACATGTCAGACACACAGTCAAAGATAAGCAAGAGGTTCACTGGGCCCCTGGCTGCGTGCTTACAGGTAGCACACTGCAGACGCATGGTCTGTGGACACACTAGTTACTTCAAGATCACGTAGCACAGGACAGCCAGTGCAAAGGCCCTGAGGCAGCATGCCTGCAGTGTTGCCTGGTGGGGGAAAGTGAGGGAGAGGGAAGGAGAAGATGAGGTAGGCAGCCACGAGGGGTGGTCTAGGTCATGGAGGGCCTTGTGGACCACTGTGGAGGCATTTTCCCTGTGTGAAATGGCCGGGGGCGCTAGTGAGCAGAGGGAGTATAACCAACACTGACAGTTGGAGGCAATATCTTGACTTAGAGACATTACTTAGGAGGCAAGATTTCCTGGCCAAAAGATGGTGCTTATCCCATGGTGGTGGCCAGGGAGGAATGGGAGGCAATCCTTGCCACGATGTACTTTGCAGGTGGAGCTAACAGGTGATACAGCAGATGGGATGTCAGGGGGCAGGCAGAGCGAGGCCAGGGATCCCCCCCCCCCAGGGTTCTTGGCCTGAGCCCAATGGGCTGCAATACCTGGAATGCATCACGGGCAGGTGGGGACAGAGAGGACCCAGGAAGGTTACTGCACACAGTCATCCAATAATGATGACCTATATGGTCTGGCAGAGCCCACAGGCAGGGACATGGCAGACAGCATCTGCAGGCCTGGCCACCATCTGGCCCACAGCTGGCACAGCTCTCCCAGAGGCAAGGGCCTCACCACCTGCTCCCCGCTCCAGACCAGCTGTGGGACTCACGGCCCCAGGTCGGAACTGGGAGGCTTCCTTATAACCCCCAGGTGTTACAGAGGAGGAAATTGAGGCCTGGGGGATAGGAGATGCCTTGCTTTCCTATAGCCTCACACTGGGGCCTCATCCACCCTGTCTGCCCTTCACCATTGAGTGGCCTCAGAGCAAGCTGCTGACACTCGGGCGCCTCCTTCTGCTTCTCTGTAAACTAGAGAGGTCACCATCAAATAAATTCTCATAATCTTTGCTATTACCCTTAGGTGTGCATCAAATTCTTATGAGCCTCGAGGCCTTGAGTGGGCTGCTCCAGCTCTACACATCAGTTTTCCCATCTTTAAAATGTCCTTGTGGGACAGAGCAGAAGCCCGGATAAAATAAACAATGTACAGCGCTCAGGGCCACTCAGGTAGTAGATCCTAACTCGATGCCAGCTGTGGGCATTTCCCCTCTCCCACACTCACTCTTTGACCCCCAGCCCTGCTTGACTTTTCTCTCTATCTAACAGACTCTGTATTTTAGGTTTCCTTCTTTTAAAATTGAGATATAATTCCCATGCCGTAAAATTCACCGTTGTAAAGTGTACAATTCAATGGCATTCAGTGCATTCATGATGTCATGCAATCAGTACCTCTATCTAGTTCCAAAACATTTCCATCACTCCAAAATGAAACCCCATCCCCGTTAGCTGTCACTCTCTGTTCCTACTCCCTCAGCCCCTGGCGATCATTAATCTGTTTTCTGTCCCTATGGATTTACCTATTCTGAACATTTCATATAAATGGAATGACATGTGTCCTTCTGGGTCTGGCTTGTTTTATTTTATTCAGCATAATGCTTTTGAGGTTCATCCACATTGTAGCATGTGTCAGTGCTTCATTTCTTTTTATGACTGGGTAATATGCCATAGTATGGGGATTTCCCTGGCAGTCCAGTGGTTAAGACGCTGCAATTCCACTACAGGGGGTGTGGGTTCGACCCCTGATCGGGGAACTAAGATCCCACATGCTGTGTGGCGTGGCCAAAAAAAAAAAAAAAAAAAAATTCCACAGTATGGATGGACCACATTTCGTTTATTCATTCATCCACTGATGGACATTTGGGTTGTCCCTCTTTTGGCGATTGTGACTAGTGTTGCTGTGGACATGCGTATACAAGCATCTGTCAGAGGCCCTGTGTTCACTTTTGGGGGGGCACATACCTAGGAGTAGAATTGCTGGATCACAGCTTAGCTATATAAGGAATTTTGTGAGGAACTGTCTTGCATTTTCTTTTCTTTTCTTTTCTTTTTTTTTGGCCTCATGGCATGTGTCACTTGCAGGATCTTAGTTCCCCAATCAGGGATTGAACCCGGGCCCTTGGCAGTGAAAGCGCAGAGTCCTAACCACTGGACCACCCGGGAATTCCCTGCATTTTATTTTCTTCCTTATCCTCTGTCATCTCCTCAAGGGATGGGGACTCTGTTTTCTTCCTGGCCACTCCACAGGGCCCTGGGCAGCACCCAGAATGTTAAGTAAATACACGATGCATGAACAAATCAATGTGACTCTTGGTTGAACAAGAACCCTTAGGTTCTCTGGGGTCTCAATTTCCATATCTGTGAAATGCGAATGGACTCAGTCCTTCCCTTGGTAAGAATTAGTCCTGGGCTCCCCTGGTGGAGCAGTGGTTAAGAATCCACCTGCCAATGCAGGGAACACGGGTTCGAGCCCACGTCCAGGAAGATCCCACATGCCGCGGAGCAGCTAGGCCCATGGGCCACAACTACTGAGCCTGCACTCTAGAGCCCTCAAACCACAACTACTGAGCCCACACACCACAACTACTGAAGCCCATATGCCTAGAGCCTGTGTTCTGCAATGAGAAGCCACCACCATGAGAAGCCCACACACTGCAACAAAGAGTAGCCCCTGCTTGCCGCAACTAAAGAAAGACTGCACAGCAACGAAGACCCAACGCAGCCAAAAATAAAATAAATTAAAAAAAAAAGAAGGAAAAGAATTAGTCCCCCTTCCTCCAAAAAGGCTCTGAGCCTGACACTCAGATGCCCACAGTGTAAGCACCATGGGCTGCTAACTCGCCCCAAGCAAACAGTCACCAATTCTGCATTTCTTCCTCCCAGTGCTGCCTCCACAGATGCTCAATGGCCAGAACCTGAACAGCAGAGAAGGTCAAGTGCAGAGATGGAGAGGGGCTCCTGCAGTTACACAGCAATGGCTTTTGGCCCTGCGCCTTAAGGAGTGGGCCGTCTGGGAGGCTGAGACAGAGGCAGCTCTGGGGAGCCCCACCTCAGTTGGAGTACTGGGGGCAGACGCCAGTCCACAGCCAGGAAGGGCCTGGACTGCTGCTGAGAGGTGAGCCAACCCCAGGGGACCTCATGCAGGGTGGGCAAAGGAGGCCTCAGTAACTGATCCCCAGTGGGAGTGGGCTCTGGGCGAGAGGAGGAATCCCAGCTTCCCCCGTTGTTACTATTAATAACATAGTA